AATTCTCAAAACTTGTGGGGGATGGGCCCCCAAATGGTTTGTTGAGTCTTCTCCTCTCCTGTATCTAATGTTTAGATCAGGGGTCGGCAACCTTTCAGAAGCGGTGTGCCGAGTCTTCATTTATTCACGCTAAATTAAGGTTTCGCGTGCTGGTAATACATTTTAACGTTTTTTAGAAGGTCTCTCTCTGTCTATATTATATAACTAAACTATTGTCATACGTAAAGTAAACAAGGTTTTTAAAATGTCTAAGAAGCTTCATTTAAAATTAAATTAAAATGCTGATCTTACGCCGCCAGCCCGCTCAGTCCGCTGCCGGCCTGGGGTCCCGTTCACCTAGGCCGGCAGCAGGTGCTGAGTGGGACCGGCGGCCGGGACCCCGGCTGGCAAGGGGCCAGCAGCTAGAACCCCAGACCGGCAGCGGGCTGAGTGGGGCCAGCGGCCGGGACCCCAGACCAGCAGTGGACTGAGCGGCTCAGCCCGCTCTCCCTGGTTTTAGCCCATTTTCTTCCTCTCTCTCTCTGCACTGAGCTGAGGACGGGAGTGCACTGAGCACAGGGCTGGGGGTGAAGGAGCAGGCTGGGGGTTGGGGTGTAGGGTCTGGCCAGGAGCTAGAATGAAGGAAGGGGCTCAGGGTTGGGGCAGAAGGTTTGGGTGTGGAGTGCTTACCTGGGCAGCTCCCATTTGGTGCTCAGGATGGGAGTGGGGATGTGGGGGGTGCAGGAGCTCCCATTTGGTGCTCAGGATGGGGGTGGGGATGTGGGGGGTGCAGGAGTCAGGGCATGGGGTGTGGGGGGTGGGGTATGTGTGGGGGTGCTGGAGTCAGGGCTGGGTGTGTGTGAGGGGGTGCAGGGGTCAGGGTGTGTGTGAGGGGGTGCAGGGGTCAGGGCAGGGGGCTGGGTGTGTGTGAGGGGGGGATAGGGCGGGGAGCGGGGTGGTAGTTGGGACTCCTGGGCTCCGAGAAGGGGCTGGTGTCTGATGCTCGGGGGAGGAGTGCTGGGAGCGAGGACTCTGGATTCCTAGGTTTCCAGCTGGGCTCTAGCTGTTCGAGGGGGTGGGGGGCAGATGGAGACTAGGGCTCCGGACTCCTGGGTTCTGCCCTCAATGCCGGAGGGGAGTGGGGTCCAGTGACCTGGGCTGGCGAAAGAGGCGCGACCCAGCTGTTCCCAGAGTCCAGCAGGCGGCGAGCCGCAGCCTGCGGGCTCAGGTTCGGGCTGTGGGACACAGCCTGCCCCAGTACAGAGCCGAGCTCATCCTGGCACTGGGGCTCCAACCCCGGGGCAGCCTGCCTAAGTCCAGGGAGCGGGGCCAGCCATGCTCGGGGCGGGCAGGCAGCGGAGCTGGGACCCAAGACCCTTCCCCACTTACAGGCCTCGCGGGCACTGCGACTTCTGTGGGGACGAGTCCCTCTTCTTGCCCCCGCTGGCGGGGCCGCTTCCCAGACACGCTAACCCGGAAACACAACCTCCCGCCGGAAGTGACAGAGGTCAGCAAAGCATGTGCAAATGCCGGCGGGAGGGGCGGAGAAGAGCGGGCCAGGCAGGATTTTTAATGGCATGCTGCTGCTGCCCGGGTCCCGGCCGCTGGCCCCGCTCAGCCGGCAGCGGGCTGAGCGGAGCCGGCGGCCGGGACCCCGGCAGGCAGCAGCGTGCCATTAAAAATCGGCTTGCTTGCAGTCTTTGGCACACATGCCATAGGTTGCCGACCCCTGGTTTAGATCATCAGGACTGGCTTGGTCCAGACCTCAGGAGCACAGCGCAATTTCCACTCTAGTTTAGCTCTGGCAAATAGAGTTCCCCCTTGCAGTTTCAATTCTTTACTTCTTGTCCTAAAATTGTTGTACAGAATTGCCATATGCTGTTTTAATGTGGCAGATATTCTAGGTGCTGCTGTGGTTGGTGAAGTGATGCTTATATAGGTCCTTCACTGTCTGTGTAATGCTATATATGTGCAAAAATCCCTTCTTGTCACCTACAGTGCTTAACCAGAAGCATATCTAATTACTAGGGCTCCATGTTTGTCACAGAGGTCGTGGAAGTCACGGATTCCATGACTTTCCGCAACCTCCGTGACTTCTGCGGGGGCCAGTGTGGCTGACCCCAAGGCCGCCCAAGCAGCTGGCTCCAGGGCCAGCTGCTCAGGTGACCCCGGGGACAGCCACACCGGCCAGCTGCTGGGGCAGCCCTGCAGCCAGCTGCTGCTCGGGCAGCCCCTGGCAGATAGCAGCAGTCGGAGTAGCCACTTCCCCAGGCAGCCCCCCAGTGGCTAGTGCAGCTGGTGCTGGCGGCGGTCCTCGTGTGGCCGGCGGACCCTGGCAGCTGGTGCCACAGCTGACCATGCCTCCCCAGCAGCAACCTCCCCGGGATGCCCCCCCCCCCCGGCAACAGCCCCCAGCACACACACCCAGCAGCAACCCCCTTAAGATTTAGTCTGGGGTATTTATAGTATAAGTCATGGACAGGTCACGGGCGGTGAATTTTTATTTATTGCCCATGACCTGTCCATGACTTTTACTAAAAATACCTATGACTAAATCGTAGCCCTACTGATTACCTTTAGCTTTGTTAATATAATTCATATTCATTATAACTGTTCATCCTTTTTAAAGAAATCTAGTTTAATCATCATACTAGATAGCCTCTGGGAACTGTGAATTCCACAGATCCAATACATTATATGCTAAGTATTTCCTTATATTTCTTCTAAACTGACCTGCCATTAATTCCATCAGCTGACCCCTTGTTCTCACATGATGGATCAGTTCCTTATTTTTGTGCTGTCCTATTTATCTACAGTAAGAGCAATTCTTCCTCTGTTTTATGAAAGTAGTCATGAAGAAGCATTTTTAATCAGTGAAATTAGTTATTCCAGTTAGAAAAGGTTACTGAAGCAACATTTCAAATAAATAATTTGACATATTATAAATCAAACTGCAGTTAGGACCCTTTATATTTTAAGCATAAAATTAATATACTCTTCTGTAGTACCTCCACCTAAGATCAAACACTTACAACTATATAGTGAATTAAGATGACAACACACTTGAGAAGTACTATGGGTAAATTAATACTATTTTACAGACTAGGAAACTGAAGCAAAGTAGGAAAAATGTTACGGAAGGTCAGATAAAGTCTATGGTAAAATGAGAAAAAGAATTTAGATCTCCTGACTCCCAGTTCCATGCTTTAAATGAGGAGCATGATTTTCCATGAACATTTTAGTTTTAAAAGAGAAAGTTATATCCATATACATGTCCTCAACTTAATAATGAGAACCTCTAGAGTTCTTAAAGTACAGATTTGGACACAAAAATATGCCTGAAGTACAAGAATCAGATTGTGTTGAAGTAATGTTGCAAGCTTGTATGAGTTTTAGAGATCATTACACATAGGGTATCTCTTCTAAAAAGTGTAAATTTATTCAAGTTCTAGTTGGATAGAACTTGGATGGGAAGGTGGATCTCTTTCTTCCCTCATTATGTCTCATTGCATAGTACCTGTAATTACTGTATTTAGGCCTAAACACATACATACACATTTTCCACTCAAAGTCTTGTATGCTAATTCTCCAATGGCAACTGGTGATTTTCAAGAACAGGTAAACAGAAGTGTCAAGAGGTATAGTTCACTAGAGATGGTTCCCAACTGCACACGGCTCCCACTGCCACGGGGAAGGGATAGCTCAGTGGTTTGAGCATTAGCCTACTAAACCCAGGGTTAGGAGTTCAATCCTTGAGGGGGCCACTTAGGGATCTGGGGCAAAATCAGTACTTGGTCCTGCTAGTGAAGGCAGGGGGCTGGACACGATGACCTTCAAGGTCCCTTCCAGTTCTAGGAGATAGGTATTAATAAGAGTTGTATTTTATTTCACTATATCTCACACGTGGGGAGAAAAAAGGCAACAAAATTTAATCGGAGAAAAAAAAATTATGATCACTTATTTCTAACAAGTCAATGCAGGTGCACAGTGGCAACCACCCACCAGCCCTTGGCACAGATTGCAACCCAAATAACCTCTGCATGGCAGTCCCAGAGGCCCAGGTCAAATTGCAGCCCTAGCTGGGATGTGGGGGGGGGGAAAGTGGATGAAGTTGGTTTAGTCACAGGAGTTTAAATTTAACACACACACTGCAGAACACCCGGGCCCAGAGAGGGAAGAACCGAGGCCAGCACAGACAGGGCCTGGCTCACTAGCAGCAGGTTTGCAGTCTACCTCCGAGGGGCTCGGCCCGACCCCTGTCCCCTCTGGGCCCCACCTCGCAGTTCACCTTGTCCTCACCTTGAGCAAAGGCCACTGCCCGGCTCCGCCCGGGCGTGCGGAGGGAGCGCAGCCGGGGTGTCATCGCCCGACAGCGGAGTCCGGGCTGCCCCTGCCCTGCAGGGACCCCGCTCCCCAGTCGCTATGGGAACAGGGCCTGGGCAGGCACGAGGGACACGCTGACCTACAGGGAGAACCAGGACGCCCCGGCCTCAAACCGCCACCCCAAGCCTCCCGACTGCACACGGCTCCCACCGCCACGGGCCGCCCAACTGCACCCGGCTCCCCACCACCGCACCCCGCTCGCCGCGCGGCACTGTCACCTGCAGGCGAGTCACCAGGACACAGTACGGCGCCATTTTGTTCACTGACAAAGATGATGTCGCATTCTAATTACGTCACGCGCCGCCCTTAAATAATATCCGAAAGTGGGCGTGGCATCTGACGAAAAGGCGGGGCCAAGCCCCAGAGAGGGCCGGGCTCCGGTAAGCGACTGAGCCTGTAGAAGGAGAGTGGGTGGGGTTTGCAGGTCCTGGAAGGAAAGTATCCCAAGAAGTGAGGACGCGTTATCCGGTTTAACAGAGGGGACTCTGGAGCGGTCTCGGGGGAGAAAGTCGTGGTCTATGGGTGCTTTATGCATGCGGCTGTGGCGTGATTTAGCATTTGTCATTGGGAAGCTCGGGCAGCTTTGTGGGAGAAGATCACATAAACCCTGCCAGGACCTGGTGGTGAGAGGTCAAGGGTGAAAGGGCTCAACGGTGACCACGCGACTTAACTCGCGCGGTGACGAGAAATGGCCAAACATCATCCGGACCTGATCTTCTGCCGCAAGCAGGCTGGAGTGGGTGAGACCCGGATGTCCCTGGTTCCCTCTCTGCCGCGTCCGTGGGGTGGGGGATCCCGACACTGTCCAGGGTCACCTCGGCCTCCGCGCGGGGAGGGGCGGAGCGTCCCACACACCCTATCCCGGCGGGGGGGAGGGGCACTTTGGCGGGCGAGTGGGGCCCGAGTGCGGGGGGGGGGCACCAGTGAGGGGGGAGGGGTACGTTGGCAGCGGGGAGCACGGGGCACCAGTGGGGGGGAGGGGCACGGGGCACCGGGGGGGGGGGGGCGTTGGTACTGTGGTACCAGGATGAGTCTGGGAGTCAGAGGGACCCAAGTCCTGTTTCTGGCTCTGCTACAGACTGGCTGTGTAAGCCTGGGAGGAATGTTTCTCACTCCCCCCCTTTATGAAGTGCTTTCTGGCTGGGAGGTGTCCTGTCAGTGCTGGGGGTCGTTACTAACGTTGGGGTGACTCCCACAAAGATGCATCCAAAACACTTTTTAGAAACAGCCTTGTCCTCCATTTACCCCAGTCACCTGTCCTTCTCCAGGTAGCCCAGGGCTCTTGGCCTTGTGCCTCACCTGTGTGCTCCATCATGCATGTTGTGTTCCCATATAACCTAACGCCTCACTGTGTGATTGCCAACTTGTGACCTACAAAGAACATAAGGGTCTGTTATTGTAATTCTGTCTTTGTAGATTGTTTTCTACATTAGTTGTTTCTTAAGTGGCCAGTTTTAAATACTTTTAATTGCACCTCAATTATTATAAAAATTAATATAATATCTACTTACTCAACAGACTAGTTTGTATGCTTAAGTAGTCATAGTTGCTCACGTTAGTGACCAAATATCTTTGCTCTTTACTCCTGGTAGTGCCAAGAGAACAAGTGAGAGAATATTTTATCATCAGAACTGCTGATTTCTTTCCAATTGTAGGGCCAAGTTCTGCGCTCAGTTAACTGTGCAATAGATGGTGTAACTGAGGACAGAAGTTGATTTGCTAAATCTATATAGTGGTGATGGGGCATGAGAGAGAAAGAGACTAGCTTGATTCTTGGATCCAGAGCTGGCTGACTCAGGAAAAAAAAATCTTTGCTTGCAAGTGCAAATTTGAACTGTTCTTGTTGAGACAAGGGAAACATGGAAACCTGGGTGTTTTTAAAGAATCATTTTTCAGAGTAGAACTGTACTTTTATGGTGAGAGGCCTAACTCTATCTGAGACCTACTCTTCCAGCCTGGTGGGTATCTATCTGCTCAGTGGTGACTGAGTCTTTGCTGTGGTGGTCACTAGGGTATACAACTCTCTATAGCTTGATACTTACTGTAGTCATCTACTAGTGAGACAAGGTGGGTGAGATATCTTTTATTGGACCAACTTCTGTTGGTGAGAGAGACAAGCTTTTGAGCTTACACAGAGCTCTGCTTAAGAAGAAGAAGAGCTCTCACCAACAGAAGTTGGTCCAATAAAAGACATTACCTCACCCACCTGGTCTCTCCAATATCCTGGGACCAACATGGCTCCAAGAACACTGCATACATTCATCTACGGTATTATTTATTTAAATTTTTTTTTGAAATCTTATAGACAAATGGTAATACTTTTTTCAATTAATTCAAATAACATCCTGAACATGACCTGAATATACTAGTAGCCTTCAAAATCAAACATAGACTTAAAACAAAATATTTGAAAATAATTTCGTCTCTGAAAACCTCATCCAGCTCCCATTAATGCAATGTAAAGTTTCTGCCATAGCCTGTGTATAGGGCTCTGTTATTTCCCTGCTCTTGCTAATGCCTGAAGCAGTGTAGCGAATGCAGTGCTGTGCTGGAAGTGTGAATGGTGCCATTGAATGCCTCATGGGAAACATTGAACTCTACACTCTGGTCTTGGCAAATGTATGTCTAGAAGGATGCTTACTGTTTACTATTAAAATGTATGTATTTGCCATGTTAAGACTGCCGTTGTACTTTGTTAAATTAGTTTAGATTTTAAACAGATTTTTTAAAAAAACATTAATTCACTTTTAAATTGCAGTTCACCTATTTAAAACAAAAGTTTTATTTGAATTGTCTCTGTCAAAAATAATTTTCTTTTTTCTGCTTTACTTATTGCAGCTATTGGAAGACTGTGTGAAAAATGTAAGTATAACACCTGCTCGTGGTGTTTTGTGAGAGCATTGTTGTGTGGTTAGAGTACACAGCTGGGATTTAGCCTGGATTTTGTTTCCAGCTGTGCCACTGATTTTTTTGTGTAACCTTGGACAAATCACTCTTTGAAATGGGAAAATCCACATGGGTGTTGTGAGGTTAAGTTGATGAATATGTGGAAAGCACTTTGAGAGGCTTAAGTGGAAGATGCCATACAAGCACAAAGCATTACGGTATGTGTCATGGAAAAGGTACAGGGAGAGGGTCCTACTTGTGGATAAAAAAACAGGTTCGTGGCCAGAGTTTAAGGAACTGGGGTTGTACTGATCAGTTCATGATGATCCACTTGTATTGCAAAAAGATAATTTGGTAATTTAAAGAAGAAAAAAATCCATTTTCCAAAAATGCCTGTTACACAATTTGATAAAGGCTCAAGTCATAATCCTGAGTGTGGGAAATACACAGCAAAAATTATCTGAAGCTAGGACATGTGAAGAGACACAGAACTAAATACATTCTTCTCCTACTATAAAAGAGGAGACTTGGGAGAATGAGAGGGTATGATCGGTCCTTTCATGGGCACAGTATAAATGAAATAAGGGTGTTAGCCTGTGTCTCAGAAAATAGTGGGAAAAGGAGCAAAGGAGGGAGAAATTTAGGGCATGGCTACACTTGCAAGTTAGAGTGCATTAAAGCAGCCCCTGGCACCCTAACTCCTGAGGTATCCACACTGGCAAGGCACTTAGAGCGCCTGGACTCTGCAGCTGGAGCACTCCTGGTAATCCATCTCCATGAGAAGCATAAAGCTTGCTGCACCCTGGCTGAAATGCCGACGTGATGCATTACTGCACTGTGATTGGCCTCCAGAAACGTCTCATAATCTCCTGAAGTCAAGTGGCCGCTCTTCTCATTGTTTTGAACTTGGCTGCAGACATGCAGATATTCCCTTTCAAAGCTCCATTACTGACAGTCAGCATGCTTATCTGCTCTGGGACAAAGCAAACCATTACTGTGGAATGCTGCTGTTGTGAGTGTGTGTGTGTGTGTGTGAGAGAGAGGCGGTGGCGGGGGGAGGGAAGGTCTGCTGCTCTCTGAACTTACAAGACAGCATGCTGACACACACTCTGCCCCCCAAAACACACTGTCTCTCCCCCCACATACACACAACACACTCCCTGTCACACACCACCCCCCCAATTTGAAAAGCACATTGCAGCCATTTGCACACTGGTATAGCTACCACAATGCACTGCTCTTTGTGGCGTTGTAAGAGCTGCTAATGTGGCCACGCCAGTGTGCTTGCAGCTGACAGTGTAAACACATGGCAGCGTTTTCCCTGCTGCGGTCTCCAAAGGCTGATTTAATTCCCAGCGCTCTACATCTGCAAGTGTAGCCAAGCCCTGAGTCTGACATTAGGGAAGCGTTTTACGAGTATACGGCCAGTGGAATAGATTCCACAGGAAGTAGTTGAAGCCTCATCACTATGGAGATAAGAATCCTTAGTGGCTGTAGGGATTAGATGACTCAAGGGGACTGGTAATAGGATATGAACCTTTCAGCTCTTGGTCATTGATTTGGATATAGTCCAGGACACTACAGACTGTCACTGGCATCTGATGGCTATATGGCCTCTGTGAAATGAATTGTTAGATTTCATTCAATTCTCTGTGAGGTTTCCACATCACAGAAATTGTTGTGGCTGTCTACACAAATTCGCCCTCTTTTTGGCCCTCTCAGAAGTCAAGGATCATGAAGCCTGAACCTCCCCTTTCATCCTTTGGAGGTAGTACTCTAGTCTCATGTTTATGTGGTGGTGTGTGAGAAGCTTGCACTGCTGCTGCCCATGTTCTACCTGTCCTGTAGTTAAAAGACTGTCTGGTGCTGTCAGTTCAGCAAATTCTCACAAGTGCTAAATTTCATCAGAAAGTTTAACGACACAGTGGTGGGATGATGTAATGAAGAGTTTTGTAAAATGCTGGTTGATCAGAGTGCTGGCCTTCATCTCTGATTCTGATTGCAAAGCAAAAAGACTTGAAAATGAAGTTTTGCAAGATACTGGCTCTTCTACTTGCTCATTCACTTCAGAGAAGTAAAATGGCTTTCATATGTCAGCGAGAAGGAATTTCCCAGCTCAGTCCCACTATTTTAGAGTGTATGGGGGACTTGTTTGGATAGGGAGCTATCCCCTCTCGGTGGGAATGGTGGAGAAGGAAACTCTTTAGCTAAGGACTGTGCTCTATTTGTAGGTGATGGTAAATGCGTGATCTGTGACTCATATGTGCGACCCTGCACACTTGTGCGCATATGTGACGAGTGTAACTATGGGTCATACCAAGGGCGCTGTGTGATCTGCGGAGGTCCAGGAGTCTCTGATGCCTATTACTGCAAGGAGTGCACTATCCAGGAGAAGGATGTAAGTTGGATGCAGTGCCTCAAGGTTGTCTTTCTGTCTCTTGTTGAACAGATGTGGTCTTTATTTAACAGTCATGCTTATCTTTAAAGGCAGCTGTGGTCTTGTGGAATGAGCATGGAACTGCGACTTGGGACACCTGAGCTCTAGTACCAACTCTGCCACTAGCTTGCTATGTTACCACGAGGAAGTCACTTCACCTCTCTTCCTCTCTTCCATGCATCTGGGGATAGTGGTGCTTACCCACCTTTGTAAAATGCTGTGAGATCTACAAATAAGCCCTGTGATATTTCTCTCGTGCCTTTCATTCCACAGGACTGAAACATAGTTTACAAACTGCATGTATGTGATTCACTTCATCCACACATTGCCTGTAGCATTACCACTTAAGATGTTATCTTACTAGGTCTCACAAGCTAAGCTTTATCAGGGTCAGGTCACTAGCTTAGAAATTCTCAAATGCTGCAAAAAGCATGTGACTACTCCAGTCAACACTGAACCAATGGCCCTGTGTATGTGTGGTGCTGTAGGCTATCCAGTACTGCTGGGGTTTTCCTCTGGGTTAGATGAAAAACAAAAGTCATGGGCCACTTGTAGCCATTAAAATCCCATGGGGGGTTTCATAAGAATATGGGTTATGGCTCTGGCGTCTTGACCAAATTCCAACTCCGGTAATTGCACTCGACAGACCTAAAACTCCCTTTGCCATTTTATTTGGATATGAATTTTTCACTGCTGTGGGGTGTTATGTACTGTTGGTAAACGTATTCCAACCTAGAAGTGGCCTCTTTCTAGTGGTCCTGTTCCCTTATGTTTCTGTAGCAGGGTCCCATAGTGCTTAATGACAGTGGTGTGAGAATGATCTCTGCACACAGGAACACAGCCACCTTTGAGGTGAAACATGGCAGTATAACCGTGTACAGCAGCACTACATGCAGTTAGAGCAGGATGTGAATGAATGAAATGAAACAGCAGGTGGAACTTAAAGAGACAGAATGCAGTGATTAAAGATGGACACCCATTTCCTGTGGAAAAGTGTCTTGAGGGTTTTTTTTAAATGAACACGAATGATCAGGACCACAGTACTGCTTCTGCAGACAGAGCTCTGTGTCTGAAGCTTTAACACTCCCTTAGTTTAGTCAAATGAGTTAATCTTACTTTCCCAAATGCTCTACATTCAGCCCCAGACAGAGTCAAGAGGAACGTACTTCCATTAGAATGTGAAGCAAGAAAGCAAAAAATGGATGAGATGGGCTGGAGGGAACATCCTTCATGTAAAGGGACAAAGGTGCCTGGTTCCTGTTTCGTGGGGGGCGCTGGTTCCACACATGCCCCATTTGGGGCTACAGGCCAGGGTCATGCCATGTCATCCTGGCAAGCTGTGGGTTGCAGGGAGGGTTTCTTTCTTGGGGATAGAAGTATGAGCATGTGCCAAATCCTTTTGAGGGGGTGGAGGAATGAACAGACGCCTGTAATGAAGCTGCCAGGTTTATCACAGATGCCCTAAATTGTGGGAGGGAAGGTTTGGAAGGGCCCCACCTTGGAGGTTCAAAGTGAAACCACAAGACAAGAGCTAGAGGGTGGTTGGTGTAGGCATATATGTGGGTGTGGTGGGAAGGGAGAGGAAAGAATTATTTAATTTTTTCCCCTCTTCTATCTCTGCTATCCTGCCCATCCCACCTCTTCTTTCCTCCCCCATAACAGCAAGTTTTGGTGCCGCAGCTTGGGTGCGGTCTCTGCAGTGGATGACATCTGCCCAAAGGCTTTCTCGTCTAATCCACTCAGGATTACGCAACAACCAGGGACACGTGTGCCAATGCCCACTGGGCCCCTCAGCACAGCACAGCTGCCAACTCCAGCAGCAGCATTTTGCCCTCAAGAGGTGCACAGATGCCAGGCTGAGTGACCCATGGGCAAACGTTCTCTGGCGTGCACATGCACATGTCCCATCTCCCATTATCAGGGAGGGTTTTGGCTCATGCTCTGATTTGTATTTAAATTTTTCCATCTCCCATAACTCACAGCTGCACCCTTGATTTATTCTCCCTAACCTGCTCCACTTACGTCTGGCTTTCCCTCCAGCTGGTAGGACTGGGATGTGGAGGCCTCCCCACATACGCTTGCTATGAGTACCCTTGTACCTGCAAAATGGCCATGTGACCTTTACAGTGAATCAAGTTCTATTCTGATGTGTCTAAAGTGTGGGGAATCGGAGTTGCTTTGGCTGCAGGAACTGAGGGCACAAGGAATATGTGTTGACACCTAATGGAAGTAGGTTCCTCTTAACTCAGGGTGGGGAAAGGTTGTTCCCCTTGCCCCCATAAGTCATGTCATAAGTCAGCTTAGAAGGATCCAGTCTCGTGGCACTATACATCTCTTTCATTAAACTGATTATGTTATTCAAACTGTTCTCCATGCTCCCCTGAGGAAGAGAATGCCCTAGTTAGTGTTAGCAAGGCTTCCCTCCTCCCCTCCACTTTCTCAGTTTTGATGGCTGGAGCCAATGGAGTAGAAGGGAAGTGTGCCTGCATGGGTGTTTCCAGGAGGTGTTTTTTGGGGTGGAAGATAGTGGTCACTCTTCATACCCCACTCGAGCCTGTTCTGCTCTAACCATGTCCTTTTCTCTCTGCATGTTTCCAGAGGGATGGCTGCCCTAAGATAGTCAATCTGGGCAGTTCCAAGACAGATCTCTTTTACGAGCGCAAGAAGTACGGCTTCAAGAAGAGGTGATCGGCCCTTGGTGCTGCTGTACCTGCTGCAGGGTTGGGGAAAGGGTCTTAAAGCATCTCTGGACTTCACTGTTATTGAGAACCAATTAATCTTCTCTAAAATGTTACAAATTAAACTATGTGTGAGGGGTGGAGGAAGAAACAAAATCAACTGGGGATTGGAACCTGATAATAGCTGAGAACTGCAGATGGCAAAAGCAGGCTACTGACTCTTGCCATCTCTCAAGCGTGGCTAGTGTCTGCCATACGGCTCTGCAAAATGCCTGGTGGGCAAGTACTTACATTCTAAGGGGATCTGCTCTCCTTATCAAGGTGTAGCACTGTTTTTACATGTCTTGCCCCCTTTTGGAATTGGGGAGTCACCTGCAGTTCTCCTTTCCATGCTCTCCCTCTCAGTTGATAAGAAGTCTTCTCCCCTGGCCACACCCCCAAAGTCTGAGGAATGAGTTCAGATTGCCGACCCACCGAAAATCTCTATGTATTGTTATACAGGGAGGCTAGCATGCTCATGACTGATGCCCTTTTCATATGAGCACAACAATTACATGTCCCTATGATTTCTTCAACCAATTAACCGAAGGCCCTTTCTGTAACTACCTCTGCAAAATGTAAACCAATAAAGTTTTTTTTTTCTTCTTTTTCTAACAAGGATTTCTCTCTAGTTCATCCCACCCATCGTCCTCCCAGAGTTTCCCTTTGTAAGGTGATTGGGACACTAAGAACGTAAGAGTTGCCAAACTAGAAATTAACAATGAGCCATCTGTTCTCTGACAGTGGCCAGTCATGGCTATGCTGACCTCTCTGTGAGATGCTTTGGGGGAAGGACCGCTGTTTGCTTTCTCACCCCAGCCATTGATAATTTTATGTCCTGAAGCAGGAGGGTGGCTCGCTTTGTGTAACCCTTGCCTTTGCTAATGTGTCTGGATGTTGTTTCACCATGCAAACATCCAAATCCCTTTCTAAAACCTCCTGAGCTGCTTGACTCTATTCTGCTGCGGGAAGTTAGAACCTTCTGTGCTGTAGCTGGAAACCAGCTATTATATTCCAGACTAATAGCCATATACTGAAAACTAGAGCCTACTTGTTTGCTGAATACCAGCAGAGGCTGTGGACTCCCAGGCTGCTCAGCACAGATCTGGGGAAGGAGATACAGCTCATGTACAGGTTGTACACACCTTCCCCTTCCCTCCTGACCAGGAGCTTGCAAATCATGTTAACTTTTAAGGAGCTGCTTTTGTGAGCAGGAGGGGCAGAGAGAAACTAAACTGGATTTGGGGTACAGTAGAATTTCCCATTTGTGGTCTAGGGTCCCAACAAAAATGTAGTTTGGGATGCGGAGTGTTCACATCTGAGCCTGTTGGCACAACTAGAAGTACCATCCAGGCAGGGATCGCTATAGAGAGACGAGGAATTTCCCTTCCTTTTCCTCCATACAGCTGTGCTTGCTGTTGCCTCAGCACTCCCAGTCTCACTACTGCTGTAGGGAATCAAGGGCTTATAGTTTAAGATCAGAACTTTGATTACTGGGTATGTAGCTCCATGTTCTGGCAGCTGTGAAAGAGTTAAACTGCCTTATCTAGTGGTTCTCATCCATTGGTCGAGTGGAGGGAGAGGGTTGTTTTTCTCCTTGGCCTTGTCTACACAGGTAACTTTGGAGAAGACTTCTACTGCCACTAGTGTGTGTAGCCTAGGTCAGTGGCAGTGCCTCTCCTGTGCTGCTACCGCAAGGATGGGAGATTGCCCTAAAACTGCTAGTGTAGATGAGGCCCTCCCTTGTGAAGCAGAGCAAGAGATACAGAAGGGTGGCACTGCAGTGAAGATTCAGTCTTTCTTATGTGATTACTTGTCTTGTGTTCATTAGTTTCTAATCCCCCAGACAGGGACCCTAGAAAAGACAGGCTCTCTGAAACAGATTCTGTGTGATGAGAACTGTGAGGTTAATTGCAAAAAAAAAAAAAAATTAAAACTCATTGAAATGAGTAGAAAGTGCTTGCCTTGACAGCTGTGAAGACCAAAGTCCTTTCTTTAAGCCCAGAACCGGTTCAGCAAGGGCACTGGCAGTACAAGCTTCCCCCACATGCTGCCCTTCTGTTGTGCCACAGCCCTGCCCTGGAGGGGCCTCTGGCAGGACTTCAGAAAGTAGTTCAGTCTCAAATGGCCTAATTCAGAGGTTCCCAAACTGATCTGTGGGATGGTTGGTGGGTGTCTGCAGAGAACAGTGTGGTCTTCTAATGGCACTCATCACTATAGTAGTTGAACAACTAGGAGGCACGCTGCTAAACTGAATTAAAGGAAGCTAAATATGCATGCCTGGTATTCCTTTTCCACATATGTCATTGCTGTAATTACCATAGGGATGCTATGCTTCTGTAAATGGAAGAGGAGGTTTCTGCAAGAAAATCCCTGTATTTACAATCTCCACACTAGAAAAAACTGGAGAATTCCTGGCCTATTCAATACTTAGCCTCTCTGCTCACAGTGTTAACGAGGTGTTTATAGTGTTATGGGACATGGACACATATCCTGAGTCCTCTTTCCCCACTCCCCCCTACATGCACAATGTCACCTCATTTCATATCAGTTACCAAAAAGGGGTCATAACTTTTGGTTACAAATAAGCTGGGACAGGGTCATATTGGACCGGTAAATGGCTCTAAAACCCAGCCCTAGTCCCTTGAATCATTTGGTCCACTGCTTGGCGGACCCTCTGAACCTGAAATGTTGCCGCCTTTAAAAATTGGATGTTGGCAAATGTCTGGATTGCATTAGTGTGCTCTCTCTCTCTGAGTGTTGGCTACAGGGATCAGATTTTAACTATCTGAAATTTTACTTAATAGGAGCAGCCATGTTTTTGTTCTTTATGGTGCTTGGTGGGAACTTTTTATTGACATGTTCAAATTAGCAAATGTTTTCATTTCTAAGGCAGGAAAGAATTTCTCATTTCCTTTGGGTTTAGTTAAGTGTCATGTGACTTGAAAGTAAAGAATGTTCCTGGTATGGAAGTGTTAATTATGCCCAATTATACCCTGACTGACCTTCCTTGGCATTAAACAACCTAGCAAAACTAGCTTTGTTCTGGCAACCTGGAGATTCCTTCCCTCTTGTGCATGTGTCTGATTCAATAGTTCTCCTTTGTCGTAATAGCCAAGTAGTCAAGAATGCATAAATGGATCCTTAGGACAGAATTCCACTCTCTCTTTCTCCCTGTGGGTGTATTCACCTCTGGATAATTAAAGGAACATAGTCAAGAGAGAAATATTTTAAGAGTCCTTATGTGCTATTAGTAACATCTTATTAAAACTAAAACAGAATTTCAGAAATGTAATTGGCTTTTTTTTTACTAATGATACTGAACCTAGGCTGGTCAGTTTCATTTCCTGATGCTTGGCTGGCAGGATGATTTTGTTTGAAGCAAAGCAATGGAATGTTCAAATTCTTAATGCACTCTTTTAATTGAATTGCTGTTAAATGAAAAGTAATGGAGATATTTCTGTTCATTATAGGTTTCATAATTTTCCCAATGGCCACCGATTTTCAACCTATCCCCCCCAAAAACAAAAACAAACCACATATGCTGCAAATCCTTTTTTGGAGGGAGGGGAGAAGAATTAGTAGCCATGTAGTATCCAACACTAACTGCCACAACAGATTTTCAAGATACACTCTTGACTGAGTTCATTCAGTCTTCTTTGACTGCAGAGATGGTGGCTGGAGGGAGAGGGTTGTGAGGAAAAGGGGGTGAAGTGTAAAGGATCCATAGAGAGATCGTGGGGAACACAGAGTATCCTCATGAAAGCAGTGTTGGGGATGAATATTTTTTTGCAATAGCCATTGGGGAGAGCAATTTAACCTGAAAGAATTACAACTGTTTCAAAAGGATTTATAATTTTTTGTAGTCTGAAACTCTGAGATGAATCAAAAATAAGTGTAACTCCACAAGTTAAGAGGATCCAATAATGAGGTTACATATTAATCTGCTATGCTACCTTTTCTGGGGGATTCCTTAGGATGAAAGGAAAATGGGAACAGATTAATTGGGCCAGACCTTTGGCCAATCTAGTCAATTACCTTTTCTCTCCCAATGGTGATGCTGGTGGTTAATTATCTAAAAGACTGGTGCATGCTCTCTTTCTCTCTCTGACTTATCATCCATTTGTGTTCACTCTGAACCCAACTGTCCTGAAGGCAAAGCTTGCAGAAGGTGGAAGCAGGCTATTTTCAGTAGTGGTTCACATTTCTGGAGTTTATTCCCCCAAGAAATGTTTTTTGTTACATAGATGCATCTAGAACACTTTGCAAGACACGTTTTTATTCAGAATCCTGGGTGGTAAAGGTATGTCTACATTTCAATAAAACACCCATGACTAGCCTGGGTTAATTGACTTGGGCTCACAGGACTCGGGCCCCGGGGCTATAAAATTGCAGTGTAGACGTTTGGGCTTGGGCTGAAGCCTGGGTTCTCAGACCCTACTCTACAATTTTATAGATCCATAGCCTGAGCCCGGCAAGCTCAAGTCAGCTGACCCCGGCTAGCTGCAGGTGTTTTATTGTAGTGTGGACATACCCTTAGGTTGGTAATTGGCTGTATTTTTTCCTGTTCTCAGTGCTTAAAGTTAAGGGCCTGCAGGAGCTTATTGTGTATTTATTCTTGTTATTTGGAATTGATAACAGTTCCCAATTTAAAACATAGAAAGTGGGGCCAGTGCAATAGTGATTGGTGCCCTATAAATGCATATAAATAGCACTGCTTCTGCATCAAATCCCCTATAATGTGCCGTATTGTGCAGTGCTACGTTAGGGAGAATATGCCTTCCTGACCCTAGCTGGTAATTGGCTTCAACCTGGAAGCAGCAGGGCCATGAACTCTTAGTAATATATTCTATCATTTTCAGGAAAATAATTTTCACTACATGAAGAACAAGCCCTTGTGCTGATGCTCGCTAATGTCACTGCAGAGCCTCTTCTCAGGGTCTAACCCATTTTGAAAAGGGTAAATATATGGTATGTCATAGTGCAACTAGTAGATGATGCATCAATTGGAGTTCAAATAGTTTTACCAAGCTCTGCACTGCCTTCCTCCCCAGGCTGGGACTCGGGCCATGAGCTGCTGAGGCTAGGGCAGTCTTAGGTAATCGTTTATCTTGCTTGCGCTTAAGGTGAGCCCTGCCTACTTGACCTAGATAAACCTTAAAACAATATAGCTGTTCATCTCCACAAGGAGGGCTTGGACACACAAGGCCCCATTGTAAGGCCTCTTAGAACCTTTGAATAGAAAACTACACCTCCCAGCAGCCTCTGCTCCGTGGCTGAGACGGCCCTGCTCGCACACGCCCCCTTCAGCTGACTGGTTGACGCAACAGACCAATCCGGAGGCGCCTCCTAACCTTCCCAGCCAATGGGGAGGCTGTTGCTAACACGCCGCTGTTATTTTTAGCACAGTCTGCGCTCGTGCACCTTGCAGGTTGCTCGCAGTGTGTCAATGCCTGTGCCTGAAGTGGTGATGATGAAGTCAATGCGCAAGCGCGTTGGGGAAAAAATAGTCCCTGAGCTGGGCGTTGCAACCAGAGGCTTAGAGGAGGGAAATGCGTCCCAGCGTACAGTTAAAGTCACATCCCTGCCTCGAGGGGCGGGGGGGGGGGGGCGGCTGCTGGTTTAAAAGGCTCTTGGCCTCCTGCTCCCGTGTCATGGGGTGTAACACTGCGCCAACAAGGATGCTGGCTGCAGGCCTTCGGCTCAGTGCGAACAGCGCTGTGAAGCGAAGCGAGGAGAGGTGGCGGCGCGTTGCAGATCGTCCCTCCCTCGCTCCCCGTCCGAACACGCGCTAGCGCGGGCTAAGCTGGCCGGCTAATGCCTGTGAACTCGGGCACGGCGCGGGGCTCTCCCCTGGGAAGAGGGGCGCCGGGTGTCTGGGCGAGAGGGGTGTGCACACGCGGGCGGTGCTGCTCACGCAGCCTGCGTTCGTCTTGCCTTGATGTCACCCACCGCTCCTGTGCCCCCTCCTCAGCGGCGTGGGGGCACCCTCAGCTAGTCCCGTCTGCCTACCCAAACAGCCGGTGCACACCCACCCACGCGTGTCCCAGTCCTAACCGAGCCAGTCAACAGCCCAGGACTCGCGGGGAGATCTGCAGTGGCAGGCTCAGGAGGAGACTGGAGAATGGGGTTTCTATTGAGCAGCGTGGGGGGAATCATTGTAACACAGCTATCTTCTCACAGCTGATGGGGGGGACTTTTTTTTTTTTTTTTTTTTTTGCACAGCAGCAGCCTGTGGCATGGTCAGGATAGGAGATTTCTATCAACCACCTTTTAAAAGAGGGTTGTTGTTACCCCTTTAATTGAACAGATTTGATGCTGAGATTGTATCCTGGGTTTAACTCGTTTCTTTCGGAGTGTGAATGCGTTTGTTCAAAGAGCCTTTCTTCTGCTTTGAGGTCATTTTTGAAGCGATTCCTCGCTCTCCATCAAAGAGATGGATGTCTACGTTGATTAGCCACCCATTAAAACACACACAAACCCCATTAACACCATTCGCTGTAGCTGCTGCTGGGAGACGTCAAATAATGATGCATGTCGGACAGAAGAAAAATCTTATCGGTTTTTTCCCTCCCTTTTGATGCTCTTGCTCTGTCCCAAGTCCTGAAGCGATAAGGCGCTTGGGGAAATCTCAGGTCAATCCAGCCTATTTGATCCCTTCCAAATCCCTCCGTGCCCCTTTCTCTTCTCTTAAACCGGTGCATACGCCACAGCGTTACAAACCACTCCACAAGCTGCAAAAACAGCCAGCTGAGCTGCCCCTGGTTTGCAACACTGTCCTATCGCATAGCTGCCTAGCCAGAGATGATCCCGATCCACCATGAACAGACCACGACAGGGAAAGAGAGAGAAAAAAACGCTCCAAGCTTTAGCGAAGTCACAACCTGGAGCAGGGGAGAGAAAAGACAGTCACACACACACACAGACTATTGCCCCAGGGCGATCCGCGCAGGGACTCCCTCCTGGAGAAGGCGCGCGGCGGCTGATGGTTGGGGACGGGCATGGACAAAAGGGTTAATTTCCAGCGAGGGTTTGGGGAAGTAGTTCCGGCTCTCCCTTCTCCCCCACCCCCTTGTCCTTTGCAGGACGCGTCACGCTGGGTGTGGAAGAGGAGATCCTTGCGCAGGGTTGCTAAGGGTGAAACTTTTCATTTACTTTGCTCACTTTGGGCCAGGGCGAGGGAGGCTCCGGATCCCAGCCGAGGAAGAGGAGGGGGGAGAAACCAGCCAGGGGGCGCCCCAAACAACCCCTCCCACCCAGGCCATAGCAGGGGGGAGTCACCCACCCCAACCCCATCCGCACCCTGTGGAAAAGAGAGAGAAAAAAGAAACCTCCAGAGAAACCCTCCAGCAACACCCACCCCCGGCAGGAGAAAGGAGCCGCCCGCCCGCCCGCGCTGCAGCTGAGGACGAAGTAAGTGGGGCTGGGGCGCTCGCTGGCGATGGGGGCACAGAGCGGCCCTGCCTCGCTCCCCCTTACACCTGCTGTTTGCCCCCCCCCAGGCCTGGGACCCGTATCTCCCCCGCCCCCCCCGTCTGACTGCGGCTGGCTGCTCTGCCCCGTCGGTGCGCTCCGCGCCGCCCGGTCTCCATCGGAGCGGGGAGCGGCGGCTCCCCGAGCCGTGACTGGCCGGGGAGAAATCCCCCTGCCTCCGTTTCCACCCTGCCCCTTCCCACTCTGCAGCATGCGGGGCGGCTGGGAGAAAATCCGGCCTTGGCTTGCGGGGGGGTCCCCGTTTGTAAGACATTCGCTTCCCCCCCCCCCCTCGGTCGTTTTCACCCTTTAAAGCGTTTCTGGCGCTGGTGGCTTCTTGGGAGCGGTGGGATCTTTATTTGCGCCGGGGGGGGGGGGTGACAGTCCTTTGGCTTGTGACGCTTTGAAATGCCCGAGTTCACCATTTTGTTCTGGCTTTTGTTGTTGCTCTTGCGGGGGGATTTAAAAATGAAAGGTCCAGAGACGGCCCCTAAAGAAAAACGAGCCCGCGGTTTGGGCTGGGGGGGCGGGATGGGGGCAGGCAGCTATTTGATCGCTGAAAAAGAAGGGGGGGGGCTGGATCCGCTCCCCCTTTGTGGAAGCAGCTGCCGTTGGCCAAAAAGGAGAAATGAGGGGGCTGGATGGGGGGTGCCGAGGGGGGGGTGCTGCTCTCTGGCGGGTCTCGCTTCCTTCAGCACTGCTGACAACGGGCATTGTGTGTGTTTGGGCCAAGCGACGCTTCTGTTTGATGCTCTGTCGCCCCCCTCCCCGGCATGGGATGGGGTCCTAAAGGCCACCCAAGGGTGGCCTACCGCAGGAACGGCCCCATCCACCGCAGACCAGGAAGATTGGGGGCGGGGGGAGGAGAGATGAGACCGAGAAATATAATCCCCGTGCCCTTAGTGGGTTGAATAATTTCCTTTCCCTTTGAGGAGGATCTGTGGGGAGGATCCCCTATTGTTGGCGGGCGGGGGGGGGGGGGGGGGGGGCCCAGGTCAGATCTATCCCCTCTTTGCCCCCCCCTAAGAGGGACTAGGGATATTTAGGCGGGGGGGGGGGGGAGTCCCCAACAAAGGACCAGGCCTAAAGACCTGTACGCTCAGGGCGATGGGGGCTAGTGTCTAGTCTGGAGGGCTTGGGCACCGGTAACAAAGCCAGGTCTCTGGCCTGGGCCCCCTTCTCCCGGGGAGAACAAGAGGGGTCATTTGCCATATGTCGGCAGAAGTAAAGGTCAGGCGAGGCCTAAGCACCCTTCCCCCAGGGGTCTGCTGTACACCCATCGCGTCCCCAAAGCCTCTGGGCCTGGGCACCCTTCATGGAGGGTTATTAGGGTTTCCCTTCTTCCACGCACCCCTTCCCCCAATACATTTAGAGGCAGAGAAATGTCCTTGCCTTGGGGGGAATCACCCCGTGTCTCCTCCTCCCTGCCACCCAGTTGCAGGCCTCTTCCTGGGGCCTTGTTTGGGATCTGTTGGTTTGGTGGCTGATCTCTTCCCCCAACAGCGAGGTAGCTGTGGGTAGTGACCGGATAGCAGATGTGAAAAATCAGGACACTTTTTGGGGGGGTGGGAGGGACTGGGGGGTGCACAAGACAAAGTCCCTAATATTGGGACCTCTGTCTCCTCACTCCCTTACTTATTTATCCCTGTCCCACAGCAATGGTGACCAATGTGGGGAGAAGGGAGCAAGCTGGGTGGCTTTTTTTGGGGGGGGGGTACAGGTGTAGCCTTAAGTCTTTAAAGGCAATTGTGATAATACTATCAAAGAGCTGTCCAGTACCCCACTTCGGAGTCTCACTCCTAGCCCCCAACCAAGGGGATGTTTGCTAATCCGTGGGGGGGGCTTCCGGGGTGTGTATGGGGAGGTGACGGGTAAATAGCCCTCTTTCTCCCCCCGCCCCCGGAAGGCGAGAGATCGCTTAGACCCCCTAAAAATAACCCAGCAATTCCCGATGACAGGGTACATGGGGTGTGTTTCTTGCATTGGGCAATTGGCTGGGAGGGTTGAGAGCGCATGTGCCATGGAAAATTTTCTACACTGCTCCTCTGAGCAGGCGCTGGTTCTTTGGGCCAGGGTTGGCGCAAGGCATATTGGGAAATGTAGTTCAGCGGCAAAGTAGGTCACTCGCCTTGGCTCAGATGAGGGCCTGGAGAAGTGGAGGGTGAAGGACTGCAACTCCCAGGATCCTGTGTGTTAGATATAATAAGGTGGGGGAGGTGGATTCCGAGTGTTTGTAGAAATTTCCTTGGCTGGGTTATTGGAAATGCATCATCCTCTATGAGCCTTGGCTGCTGTGCTTAAAGGGGGGTGGGGGGAGCTGGACTCCCAGCTGAGAGAGGCTGATCTGGAGAACAGGCCCCCTAATGTATGTATAATTTTGCATGGGATGGGGCTTGGGAGGGGTGTGAGTCCTCTGTACAACACCCACCATCACCACATACACAGGACCAGTGGTTTTGATAGTGTTTATAAGGGGAAGAGGCGATCATAGATTTTGTAATCTTGGTGTCTAGAATGTGTGTCCATAGGGCCCATTCCTCCCCATGCACACAGTCTGCAGGGATAGCTGAGTGTTTAAAAAAAAAATTTTTTTTCCTCTCTCGCTCTCTCCATTTTGGAGATTATGTGCCTTAAAATTGTTTAAACATAGAAAATAATTGGATTGCCTCTTATAGTCTGTGGGTGGGGGAGAGTGAGGGTGGGTAGAGACAAGGCTGTTGTTTTGGTAGGGTGTGGCCTGCAGAATAACAGAGAAGGTTATCCTATCATACTGGCCTGGATTTTTTTTTTTTAAGCCCTTTGAAATGTCGCTGTGTGCACTTAATGAGGGGGCAGAATCGCAGACCTGTTTTCAGAGGGATAATTGCTCTTTATAGGTTTAAAAAAATAGATCTTGTTCCAGATTGAAACTTGTCTTACAAGGTCACTGCCTAGTATCTTCATAACCGGGAGGAATGGAGATGTTTAAAGTGTTCATTCTCATCTAATGTGTAGTCATTTTGCCCATTTTCTTTAAAATCTGTGCTCTGTTAAAACAAAGAGAGAGAGAGGGTTGACCTCCAGAGCTCCTGCATTTCTGCAACATAACCTATGTGGGGAAACATTCATCCTCTTCTTTTTTATTTTTTTTCTTTCTCCCCCTCCTCCTTCCTTCCACCATAAAATATTTGTCCAGCAAATATATGCAGGAGATGGGGGGGAAATATGTACATTTTTCTGTGACTGGCCTTATCATTTGCAAAACATGCTATGACACTTTCTACCTTGGTCATCAGCTTCAAGACCTTTGCTTCCCACCCCCCCTCCCAAAAGCCCCGTAGGTATGTAAAAGAAAATATATTTTTCACTGCAGATGTGCAGATTCAGCTGCAACTATTTTATGGTTTAAAACTAGTAATCAGCTCCACCATACGGGTTCTCGTATTGGCAATCCTGGGATTAAGGGATCCGAATGGAATACATTTTATTGTGCTAACAACGTAGGGAATAAATGGTGCCTCTTGCTCATTTGGAACCCTCTCTTACATTTGAAGGCATCTGCCAAGGCCTGTTGTACGTAGCTGTCTTGGTGCATGCTGTTATTTGGTTAATGGCTTTTTTTTTTAAATTGAAGCCACAGACGCCACACTCAGAGTATTCTCCATTTTAAAAAAAAGAAAAAGTACTCCATTTTTATAACTCCTCTGCAAGCTTGATACTGAAATTGGTTGCTGCATTTTACCCCTCCTTCTCCTTGCCTCCCACGGAAGTACTGAGCTGATTTGTTGGTGAAGATGCAGGACTGCTGAGAAGCATTGAGGCTTTGTGCTGTTTTGGGGATGATAATAAATCAAGGCCCTGGAGTTTTTGGATTTTTTTTCTCCCCCCTTACCTTCTTCTGAAACATCTGGCGCTGGTCATGTCAGAGAAGTAATACTGAGCTAAATGGACCACTGACCACAGTTCCAGTGTGCCTGCAGTTGCTGGGGATCACTGAAGCTGTTGGCAATTTCTGTTAAAGATCACTATATCGATTCTCTTTGCAAGAAAACTCTTTATTACCTCCTGTCCTTGTTCTGTTAAAGGGACCCTTCTTGAGTACAGTTTTTCAGGTAGCTTGTATTTTTATACCGTCGTCTCTTATTTTTGGAACTCTCTTGAAAACATGCTTGTTTCTCTACAAAAGTTGTTGTCAAAATTTGAAAACCAAGATCCTCTTATATTACCCCACTTAACTTTTGGTCTCTAATGCACTGGATCTGGATCAGAATTGTGACCCAGAGGTGTCTTCCCATTAACATCCAATCTTGCTAGGATTCCAGTGAACCAGGCTGGGTGCTTTTTTAAAAAAAAAAAAAAAAAAAAAAAAGGCCGTAGTAACAGAAGTTAGTTTTATGCAATCTACTTGGGATAACATGGGCTGATTAAGCCTCTGTTATTTCAGCGTGTATTCCACAGGTCCACTGGCTCTCCTTTCCTCTGAAAATCATTGAAAGCCTCCATCCCAAGCTATTGAGTGCCACCTACACACCAGCCTGAGAGTGACCTGTCCTAGTTGGCCTTTCAGAAAGCTGCCTTGTTCAGATCTTCTTGGCATGTTTCTATTTTATTTGAACTTAGGCGAGTTCCCAGTGACCTGACAGAACTTCTCATGGTTCAGTAACTCCTGAAATCCAAGCTCCAAAGGCTGGCGGTGCCTTTTCAACTCTCAGCGGTCATTCACTGCCTCTATTCACTTCCATGCGAGGCTAAACGTGAAGGGGTTTATATCTAGAACTTTGTAGCTTCTTGTGCTAGCTGATTTTGAGGTGTTTACAGCTCCAACTGCCTGTTGTTGTACTCCTGGAAATAAACCTCCCTGAACATAAGTTACCAATATAATATCTTTTTAATGTAGAATTCGTACTGTCATTTTTGTCATAATTCAGTCTTCATTTAAAAACAAATTGTGCATGTCACCATTAATGCTGCATGTTTATTCCCTGCCATCCACTCAACCAGGATAGGTAAACTAGCCCTAAGCAGTTTCCCTTTCTGCTTCTCTTGATCTAGGCCAGTGTTGCCTGGGTTTCTAGTTCTGCAGGGGAAGGCTTACGTCTTAACTCTGACACAGATGCGCACACACACACACACCCTCTCTCTCTCTCTCTCTCTCTCTCTCCCTCCCCCCCCCCCCTTCCCCCCCCCATTTGGCCTGCAACCTAAATGCTTGGGCTGAAGGCTTGAGAGTGTCCCTTAAGCCCATTTTGCCAACATGGATGAATGTGGTGTGTGCATGTTTGTCTGAGCAGAGCCCAGGGTAGTGGAAAGCTGACTTGCTTCTGACTAAGCTATCAATTAAAAACTGGATGTGCCACTTCCCTGCTGAATGGAGCAGGAGTTGATAGTGGTATACTTCTTTTTTAAAAAGTCTGAGATTCTCTGTCCTTTCCCATCTCTTCTCTTTGAGAAATGACCCACCTAGAGAGTTTGTTGGTACCTGGAAAAAGACTGTTCATTTCTGTTTTGGCAAGTGAGTTAAAAGTTGTGTGGGCCTACAATACTCCCCATACACCCTTTTCTGCTGGAATAACAACAGGGCTGGGAACTAGCTGGGAACTATGCATGACAGGTGGCCAGCAGTGTATGTAGTGTGCACACCCCACACTATTTACTGATCTGAATTAAACTGAGACATGAAGCTTTTTAGCTTGATTTAGCCAGACAAATCCTCTGTCGGGGGCAAGTGAGTATCTGAATGTCAGATGAACTGTCCACTTTGAGGAGATAGTAAAACTGGGCTGGCAGTTAGTGCCTCACTATCATCATACCCTCACCTCCAGTCTCTCATCCTTGAGCCAGCAGGACCAGAGAATGCAAATCTCCAAAAACCACCAGCAGCCACTGCCTTCCAACTGAGTCTTGTTGCTGTTCCTCAGCAGAGAGGCTGGTGTTGCCATACAGAGTTCAGGAGTTGATCTCCACTCAGGATGGGGAAAGACTCTCATGATTCTGCCTTGATGTAATTTTTTTAAATCAGAGGCACATGAGGTGAAAGGAAATAAATAAGAGTTGAAGCAAAAAGAGATGTATTAAAATACATATTAACCACTGTACCAAAACAAACTATTTGTCCAGTTAGTTTGGTATCCTCTCTCCATTGGTGATCAGTGTTGGCTAACTTGAGAGAACGGCATCATACGCACATACTGTTCAACGTAGTACTCATTCCATTTAGTAGGGCAGAATTTCTTCCTGATCTCCTCTAGCAATCCACTTATGTCAGGTAGCATAAGGATTGATCGCATTTGTGTAGCTTTTATTCTAGGAAGTAGCATTGCAAATGCTATTTGTAGAAATGTCTAATCTTTTTGTAAATATACTAAGCTGTTTGCCTCAACAATATTAAAGTTGCCACGTTCTCTTCTCTCCCTTCATCCATCTTTTTTTCTCTTTTCTTTTCTAGGATCGCTTGGAGCCAAATCTTGTGTATGTTGTTTGTCTCTTTCAATACACTGCCCTGACTTGCTTGCTGTGAAGGGAGTATGCATCTGGAGATCAAAGTTGCTCTGAACTTCATCATCTCGTACCTGTATAACAAGCTTCCCCGGAGGCGGGCAGACCTGTTTGGTGAAGAGCTAGAACGCCTGCTGAAGAAGAAATATGAGGGCCACTGGTACCCGGAAAAGCCTCTGAAGGGTTCTGGCTATCGCTGCGTCCACATCGGGGAAACGGTGGATCCGGTGGTGGAACTGGCAGCCAAACGGAGCGGGCTGGCCGTAGAGGATGTGCGGGCCAATGTGCCTGAAGAACTGAGCGTCTGGATCGATCCTTCTGAGGTCTCCTACCAGATTGGCGAGAAAGGGTCTGTCAAGGTCCTGTATCTGGATGACAGTGAGGGCTGCAGTGCAGCTGAGCTGGACAAGGAGATCAAGAGCAGCTTCAACCCTGATGCCCAGGTGTTTGTCCCCATTGGTAGCCAGGACAACTCCTTGTCCAACTCGCCATCGCCATCCTTTGGCCAGTCACCCAGCCCCACCTTCATTCCCCGCTCTGCCCAGCCCATCACCTTTACCACTGCCACGTTTGCTGCCACAAAGTTTGGCTCCACCAAGATGAAGAAGGGTGGGGGTGGGGGAGCAGGAGCTCAACAGCAGCAGCAGCAAAGGATGGCCAGGTCACCCACCAACAACCTGCTGAAGCACAAGGGCCTCTCCCTCTCTATGCATTCTCTGAACTTCATCGGGGGCGGGGGGAGTCAAGCTCCTCAGTCGCAGCTCTCCCCCAATGCCAAGGAGTTTGTTTACAATGGCGGATCATCCGGAGCCAGCGGCCTCTTCTTTGAGGGTGTCACCAACGAGAATCAGGGCGGCAGCATCCCACCGGCCTCCCAGTTCAACACTAGCACCAGCGGCGGCAGCAGCTTTGACATGGCTCAGGTCTTCAGCAGCAGCAGCAACAGCCTCTTTCTGGAGAAGTCTCCCTTTGTGGAAGGACTCAGCTACAACCTGAACGCCATGCAGTATCCCAGCCAGTCTTTCCAGCCTGTCGTCCTGGCCAACTGACCGGGAGGAAGGAGAGTATTTGGGGAAAACAAGAATTAAAAAAAAAAAAGAGAAGAAAAATGAAAAATAGAAATATACAAAAATTTGAAATCTTATAAATATAGCTTCTTGGAAAGAGAGACAACCCCGGAGTCGTTGTGCTGTGCCGGGCAGCGCTCCTGAAGCACTGAATTGTTTTTTAACTCAATCCCCGTGCTTTTTCCTACCCACTTTTTTACTCCTGTAATGGGTTTGTTTGGTCCAGAAATGGTGGAAACAAAGGTCACTTTATCTTCCTGTCTCCCAACTTCCTCCTCAGAGCTGGGCTTTAGTATCTTGTTCTTTGGTGTAGAGATGGCCTGTTCTGGGCATTCCCATATCCTTGGGTGCTAGGCTGCCTTGCTGAGAGGGGTGGGGGTATTTGTTTGGTTTTCAGTGCCGGGCAAGAGGTGCACAGTTTCATTGTATACTTCCCAGAGAAGGGTGTGGGGGGCTTGCTTCTTACCATGATTAGTCAGTTCCTCTCCTCCCCCCGGGAACAGACAGGGTGAGTTTACCGAGTTCCCCTTACCCTGCCTGCTTTAGACTGCTATGACCTTGTCATCCAAAACCCTTCAAAACTGCCACAGTTGATGCCAGCCTCTGTTTTGGAATAAGATTCCCCCAGTCTCCTTTTCCTTGGCAGGCGGGTAAGTTGGAGCACTACTATGAAACGGCTGCTTCCTGCTGTCTTCCCTCTCTACACTTTCGCCCAGAGGTGAATGCTGGAGAAGAACAGCACGGTGTTATACCAGTGAGTCCATTTATGATTCCTACCCCCACCCTCATGCACGAAGGATCTTGTCTGAGCTGGTCTCTTCAAGTTGGTCAGAGCCAGTGTCAGTTCAATAGGGTTGCTATTATATACAAGCACTACAGTAGGTGCACCCACTGCTGTTTATAGGGAGGAAGTATCAGTCCTTATGTATTGCACTTCTCTTTCAGGGGACATGGTTAGATATGCTGCCTCTCACATTCACATTCTTATGTGCTTTTCTTCCCCTCCAATGTAAGCAGCATCCACTGATGTTCCTTTGGAGCAGTCTCCAAATGTTTTGAGTTCTCTTACTCTCAGCTACCTTTGGTTACAGGCTCTCAGAGGGGAAAGGGTTTCCTGCTTTTGAAGAGGCAGCACAGCTTTCTGGGGAGAGCAGGGGGTTGCATCGCCCAGGCTGCTTTCCTGATTGATAGCTTGAGGGATGTCACTTCCTGTTTTCTTTTATTAAAAGATATAATAAAGTGTGACCAAATCCCCTTTGCTTTCCTTCTGGAAGGATAGGAGGGGGTAGGTGACTTAGTACAGAGGGGAATGCACAGGGGGGATTGTACTCAGCCCCTAGTGTTAACTGATCGATCCAGCCAGAGACACACAGTCTAGAGGGGGCTCGCTGCAGAATAGGGACTAATACTTTGAAATGACTCATGGTGTGGGGAGAAGAAACTGATATTTCAGGACCTAGATGAATAGTTGTCCCCTCCTCATTATTGAGAGTAACAAAGAGCTAGGAATCCTAAAGCTGCTCCCTAGTTTTTCCCTTCACACACACCCCAAAAAAATGCTGAAACAAGGGAAGGAGTAGGACAGTAGTGGCCTTTGATAGGCTGCTTCTGCATCTTGTTATTCCATAGCCTGCCTCCATGATGTGTGGGAATCCCTATTCCTCCCAGATGGGGCAACCTAGAACCCCCTGGGATTGGGGACTCCAGGTGGGAAGACTGCCTCCTGGGGTGTCAGCCTTGGGCTAGGAAGAAAGTGAAGAGGAGAGGTCTGAAGCAGATACATCTAGCTTTGGGGCATTCCTTTTTTTTTTAACAATCTTTTCCAGCTCTGCTGTCTCCCATGTTTGTTTTTAACTAAACCTGTCTCTGGAGCTTCTTCTGAGACTCACCTCAAGTATTTTTGTAATTAAGGGATAAGATCCAGTTTACTTTTCCAAGACTTCACTGTCTATCAGTGGGAGGAGGCTTTGAACTCCCATTTCTCCCCACCCCCAAAAACCCCCGAGTTGATGACACTCCAGCCCTCATGTCTTCGTGTGTGTGTGTGTTGTGAATGAACCTTATTTGGGTTAAGGAGACTGCCCTGCCACAACTGACACTACCCTGGTCTCAGTAGGGGGCTTGTTTCTAAATCCCCATCACTATTGCATTAATGGGAAGAGCACTCTTCTGATTGGGTTGAATCCCAACACACCATTTCCCAAAACAGGCTGCTTGCCACTTATTGGCTGTGACCCAACTGGCGGGTGGGTGGGAGGCAAGGGCAGCCACTACTAAGCAGTCTATCCTAGCATGATGTGTGAAACCTGCAGGGTTGAAGATGGAAAAACTAGACTGAGACTCTGGGGATCTGTTTAGCTGATCCTCTTTCCCACCAACTTTACCACTGCCACCCAGTTCCTCCCCTTTGAGCGTACTATAGACTGCCAGACTATTGCACTGGACTAAATAACTCTCCGCACCTCAGGGGACCGGCTGGCTTCCCAGCCCAGTTTCCCTTGTTGTTTCCACCCCTCTCATCCTTCAGCAAAATGCTGCCACAAGTCATTGCCTTTGTGCACCCTCTTATGGCATAGGAAGGGAGGGAGAGATGGAACATCACCAGCCACCTGCTATGTGTGTGTGAAGCTTTGGCGCTGCTTTAACCTGCTTACACGTATTGTAACTGCTTTAAAAATAGTGTTGCAAAGATGAGGAGGGAAAGGGGAGGGGACCAACCTCTTTGTATCTTAAAGGAAAAAAAAGCGTGCTTCAGAAGCGTTTCTCCAGCACTGGTGGCAATTAAACTAATGGCCTTTTTTGGTCTGGTCTTGGATTTAGGCGTTCAGCTTCGATTTTATTTTTTAAAACCTGCACTAATTAACCTGGTTTCTTAGGAAAAGAGAGCAAGAGAGATTTTTTTTTTAACTTTTATTTTTTATGGGTTTGTGTTTTTTGTTGATGTCCGTTTGTATTGAATAATTTGCTACATTTGTAAAATGTAAGAGGTATATATAATATATGTATATTTCTAACGTAAAAAAATGTAATTTTTTCTTTGAGATTTTTTCTTAAGAGGAGAGAAAAAATATTTTTTCAGGAAAAAAAACTTTAAAAAAAAAAAAGCAGTGAAAATTCCTTTCTCCATCCCCCAGCTTCCTCCTTCCCCCTCCCTAACCCCTTGTGAAGAGAGAATCAACAACTGTATGATCTTGGAGACAGAGAGAGAAAATGTGTGAACACAAAGAGGACAGAATTATGTATGTTTCTTAATGTAGAAGGTTCCTATGTTTGTTCTGTTTGTTTTTATGAGAAGGGGTCTACTGAGAGGGGGATCAGGGGGTTGCTGTTTTTTTCTTTAGCGAAGGAGGAATACAATCAGAGTTTTGTATTCAGAATGTTGTGCAATATTTTGGAACGGGACATTGGCGTGTCTAGAGATTTAGTTAAAAACAAAACAAAAAGTTGATCAAATCTGTACAGTTTCTATTGTTCCAGATTTTTTTAAGTTTGTATTAAAAGCATGATATATAATAGCCTCTTGTCCTGTGTTGTGTTGTGCGCTCAGCCGGGGGGGGGGGGGGGAGGTGCATGGAGGAAGTCCCTGCTTTCTGGCCTGATGTTAGACAGCAAAATCGCTATTGTGCTAACACTCTCCTAGAAAGACCATTGGTCCATCTCAGCCAGTCTTCCATCTGATGCGACATTGGATAAAAGCTCTGGCCCATACTCTGGTATCCCTTCTCAACCGGTGCAGTGGTGGTAAAGCTCTAGTAAAGCTCCCTATTGTGCTTCCTGAAGTCTCTCTGTGCCATAGTAGCTGTGATGGGGTTTCCACATCTCCTTCTAGAATCCATCAGTGCCACAACAAGGGTCACTAGTGATCAGCAAAAGGAGCCACCTCTCACAGCTGATGGGGACTGAATGCTATGTTGCCTCTAGCCCACAGTGACCTGGGGCCCCTTGTCCCACTCAAACTTAGGATTCCTCCTAGTGAATCAATATCACATCAACACTGAAGTTTGTCAAAAATACAGGCTCCCCTCGACTGACAAGTGCAGAAGTACATACGTGGCCTGCAGCCATATCACGCTGAGCTGTAATCTTCCCTGGTTTCATAGACTGAGCAGGCCCAGCCCCACTCACGCTGGGCTGAGAGGCCTCCAACAAAGAACATGGGTTGCTGCAGGAAGTGGTGGTATAGATGGAGTGCCCCAGCATACACTGTGTTGGAGAGAAGTAAAACCGGTTGGTCTAGCACCCAAAATGTGCTAGACAGTCTCCAAACATGAGTGAAGAAAGTCTCTGAAGCAAAGAGCACCCAGGCTAAATCCTCACCCTGTAAGATTGTTCAAGAGCCTGTGGCATTTCTCCGAACAGTATGGGTCTGATTCCAGGAGGGAGCTAATTGTATTCTGCTTACCTCAAATCCACCCTTCAGGGTCCAGTTGGAGTCAGTATAATGTGGGATTGCAACATGTTTAAACAGTTCCTCCTTTCCATACCAGTGAGACAAGGTGAGCTGATCCCTGGATATGGTGTGGATCCTTTTCATTGTAAAGAGCTGCATAATCTTATGATACTTTGGTGACTTGAATCTGTTGGGTACATAATTGGGCTAGTGGAAACTGCCCACCACCTGAGTTTACCAGAACCTAATTAATTTATTCTTCCTTTCCTCTGCACCAGAGAGGGGGATGGAGTTAGTCCCATGCAATGGCACACGCAGAGCGACCTCTCCCTACCGCCCTCCCTCAAAAAGCTGTTGGAAGAATAGAGTCAAAGGAGACTTTGTTCCCTACTCCTGCTAGGATCTCTTCCCCACAGATCTGCCTACCTGAGTTTCTCACTAAGAACTCTTGATTGGATTAATGCCAGGTAAAAGAATTGTGGGGATCTGTACACTATGGAAATTGTAGCCACCCACATTTCGGGGGGGAGACAGGGCGAGCCTTCTGATGGTTGGGTGGTTATGGTAGAAGGGCGTGGGGGATGGAGTAAGTGCCAGTTTTGGCCTAGCTGCCTCTCTGTCATGGCAGGGACAGGTGGCAG